TCTCCAGCGGCGCGCCTTCGTGAGGAGCTAGCCCCCTCAGGCTGTAGCAGTAGCCTGAGGGGACGGCGGGCGGCAAATCCTGGCAGTCCGCTGCTTGAGCCCATCACCTTCCACAGCTCCTGCCACTGGCGTCCCAGGCGCTGGCTCTGAAGCGGCCGCAGCAGCTGCAGCGCCATCTCCTTCAGGCTGCCCAGCGGCGGGACCAGGCTTGGGTTCGTCACCAGGAGCAGCCCCACCTCCCTCCTGACGTCTGCGCTTGCCTGCGAGGCGCAGTGCCATCTGCTCCTGCTCGGTCTTGAAAGCCTTGGCCTTCTCAGCCGCCTGCCCGAACATGGCTCGGACCGCCGCCGACAGCTCAGACTGCAGTCTAGCTGTGCGGTCAGCCAGCTCGCGCTTGTCAGCCTCCTCCATATCATATTCTGCATCATCGAAGCCCGGGCCCGCGAAGGACAGAGGGATCGACTCGATCGTGCCGTCCAAGATGCCCGCCACGCTGAGCGCCTGGGGCTGGGCGTCCTGCTGCGGCGGCACGAACTTCGCATTGAGCTCCACCACCAGCCTGCGGTGCGCCGCCTCGCGCTCCTCAAGCTCGTCCGAAAGCTGCTGGACCCACTGGCGCTGGTGCTCGAGCCCCTCCGAGAGGCGCTCGAAGTGGGCCGCAGCCTTCTCCAACTTCTGATTGACTTCCGCCACTTGCTTGTGGGCCAAGGTGACCCGCTGGGACAGTGGTGCGACGTACTCCTTCTCAGCCGCTTCGCGCTTCTTCTCAAGGAGGACCCTCCTGTGTTTCGCCGCCGTGGCTGTGTCACCAGCTCGCTCCAACAGCGCCACCAACTGCTCCAGGTCGTTGATCTTCATGTCAGCGTTCGCTTCCTTAGGCTGGGCCACCAGGAACTGGGCCCCTGGCGCCCGAGGCAAGGCTGGGCCTCCTCCACTCGCGTCGTCCTGACCCTTGCCCTTGCCCTTGCGCCCCTTGCCCTTCTTGCCGCCCATGCCAACGTAATCTGGCTGCTGTGGTTGGCCAGCATCGCCCCAGACTCCTCTAGGTTCTGGTGCTGCTGCAGGGGACAAGTCGGATAGCTTGTGGCCGCATGTTTTGCAAGACAAGCTCCATCGAACATTATTCTTGCACCCGCACTTGGCACAGGCAGGTGCCCTTCCAACTTCTTTCCAACCTTCGTAGTCGCCAGGGCCCATGTCTCTCCACTCGCGCCATTGCCCCCCCCCCAGGCTGGGGGAACGGCCACGGCGGGCGCCCTGCAGGAACGGCCGCAGGAGGAGCCATGGGAGTAACAGGAGGCAGGGACTGGACAGACTCGGAAGGTTCGTCGTCCTCCTCAAGGGAGTTGCTCCAGCAGGAGCTCACAAAAAGGTATCTGAACCAGTTGCCTGGTGCAGGATCACTGGCGGGGGCGCGCCTCCCCCACGCCAAAAAGGCCAAGTGCATGAGCCGAATGGCTACGGACTTGAGCCAAACTGGCTACGGACCTCCTCCTCCTCCTCCTCCTCCTCCTCCTCCCCCTCCCCCCTCCTCTTCCTCCTCCTCCTCCTTCTCCTCCACCTCATCCTCCTCCTACTCCTCCTCATCCTTTTGCTCCTCCTCCGCCTCCTCCTCCTGCTCCTCCTCCTCCTCCCTTCCCGCCTTCTCCTCCTCCTCCTCCT